GCAATGAAAGTAGTACAAATTTTCTCCCGTAAATTCTGTCCGTAGATTTTAAATAGTATAAGAATGTAAACTTAGATTATATAGGTAGAGCATCGAGCCTTGAAAATGGGTCAACTTTTTGTCAGCTAATTGTCAAATTAACTGACTCTTTTTTTTATCAGTATTCTATATTTTTTTTTATACAACTTAGAATGGCAAACAAGCTGACGGTCCACCTAATGGAAAGTGGTAACCGTCGCCTATAAACATGTGCAGTATCAGTCCATAACAGAGTATACTGTTTCGCTCATGATACCCCCTGTGCGTTGCCATTCCTGAGGACTCAGGTGTTATTCCTCTGTACCCTGTAAATTCACTGCCATATCCCACCCTTCAAACCGAAACATAGCTATGCAAACACAACTGCTTCACGGTTGAAACACGAATGGGACAGAGGTACCCAAGCAATTGACTTTTGTACAAAATCTCCCTCTGGTAATTCTATATACTTACGCATAAAATTTACATATACATAGTTAATAAATAAAATGAGTGTTTACGCATTAAAAAGATGGGAGAATTATAAGACAAAATTAATATAGAAGTTATAAAGGAATCACTCATAACTATTTATCATGCAGAATTGTATGAAAAAGTTAACCCGTTTTTCTCGACACATTTGTATGGAAACTATCTACATAATCTAAGATTTTGACTTACTTAATATCACGCGATCGTTTTCGTGAGCAGTCGCATTTCGCATTCCGCATCATATTTGGGTGACCTTGCAATAACATGAAGTTCGTAAGTTTATATTTTGTAGTTATAGTCCACCCGGCCCACCTAGACTACAGCTTACTTCACACTGGACTAATATTTGACTCACTACACACATTTTTTTTTTAATGTACCATGAGTAAAAATCCATTTTAACACGTTCGAGTAACAAACATTGTAACGTGTAAATATTTTTACAAACTTTCACATTTGTAACACTAGTATTCGTTGTAGGACGCTTTCGCGTCCAATAATAATAAGATGTATCTACAGACATCGGACAGTTAGAGTTTTATTATGTACATAACATACATTTAAATTGAATGTATGAAAAATAGGTGGCCGGGTTTTCAGCAGCAAAATGGTTCATGAACGAATAACAAACGTAAACACTGCCGTCCCACCTACAGATGCTTTATAGGTTTGGTTTGTGCCTGTTATTCTCTCGTCGGCGTTTTGTAGTATTATTTATTTTGTGGCGGCGCCCCCAATTTTCAACCAACTTCTAAAAAGAAGTTTTTAATATTAATAAATGGTAATATCCGATATCTATATATAGAGTTTTTCTGAACATTATTGACCACCCATTACGATATCGTCCATACCATTCGGATATCTATATTCATCACTAGCTGTTGCCAGCGACTTCGTCCGCGTTTCTGTCGTTTTTCGTAAAATAAGTAACCTATGTCCTTTTTTTTATACAACTTCGAATGGCAAACAAGCTGACGGCCCACCTGATGGAAAGTGGTAACCGTCGCCTATAGACATGAGCAGTACTATGGACATAACAGAGCATACTGTTTCGCCCATGATACCCCCATGCGTTGCCATTCTTGAGTACTCGGTGTTATTCCTCCGTACCCAGTAAATTCACGCCATATCCCACCCTTCAAACCGAAACACAGCCATGCAAACACAACTGCTTCACGGTTGAAACACGAATGGGACAGAGGTACCCAAGCAATCGACTTTTGTACAAAGTCTCCCTCTGGTGAGGGAGACTTTGGAAACTAATATTTAAATAAAAGCGCTTCAGAATCAATCCCAATGTGGAAAAAATAATGATACCTCTCCATCTTTTCCTATTTTAAACTCTTTTTGTATATCAAATTTATCTTCTGCATTTATAATATTTCTGATTAACTATTAGTTATTTGTATAAATTTGAAAACAACTCGACGGAAACGAATTGATATCAAAAAAAAAAAAAATGAAATCGCCCCGAATAGACGTGAAAGTACAAGATAATATAAATTGACGCCGTCGAATCGATGTGGTGTTGATTCGATCCTAATTTGATCGCGTTCAAATCACCCCACGGATTGGATTATTTTCTTGCGTAATAATTTAAATTACGGATTTACGGTTTTTGCACTTCAAGCTTTGGGTTTTGAAACCACTGGTCTCATCAAATTTGAATAACCGAACTTTGACTGCAGCCCTAGGGTCCTAAGTTTGAATCCCAACCTAAGCCTCTAACGCTCAGGATATGAATGAGTTCCTGTCGAAGTTTTCCACTACAGCATGGGGTTCTTCAAAGAAGCGATAAAGAGGTTTTTTCAGGGTCGGTAACGCGCGCGTATTGCCTCTGGTATTGCAAGCGTTCATAGGCTTCTGTGATCACTTACCATCAGGTGGATCGTATGCTTGTTTGCTACCCTAGTGATCATTTGATCACTTGCTTTATACTTCGAAGGACTCTAAAGCAGTCGTTCGGGGGGGAAGGGATTGTTAATAATATGGATCTAACAGCCCTACTACTTGTAATATAGGGTGTATCAGGTCGACCTCTACGGGGTTCTCGCTGGAAACCATCTTGGTTAAATTTTTATAAATTCATCATTACGGGCCAATTGACCTGTTTCCAATTGACAGAAGTACACAAGCAATCGACTTTTGTACAAAGTCTCCCTCTGGTGAACCACCTTTTCTAAAGTCGGTTAAAGTATGACCACTCCCACAAATGTCCTGTGTAGGTCCAATTGAAATTAACTATTAGAATTTATTAAAAAAAAACTGTAACACATGTTAATAAGGAACGCATGTCACTTTGATCGGCCGGAGCATCGAACCGAAACGGCTCTTATCTGAACATAATCACATAACGACGAGTTATCAATAAAACATAATATATAATTATAATAATTCATTCGTTCCAGATTTAACCTTTCCAATGTTGGTGCATCTAGAATTTTCTGGATTGCTACTCAAGATTTTATTACCAATAATGGTATTTACATATAAAACATAATATCTATCTAGTGAAATATATTCGACGTCTATTCAGTAATCTATCAACGTTCTGTAAACGTCTTTACATGTAATTTATTTAAAAAAAAATTATAATAAACAAATAATAATATTAAAATAATAGTAATAATACTTAATCACGAATTTTCTCTTTTGAAGGCAAAACAATAAACTGAGTTGTGGCCATTTTGTGTTACTATGGCACAAGCATGAAAGAAAATTTTTTTATTTTATTTTTTTATATATTTTGCTTTTTTTTTGTATAATGCATTCTTTTTTATTTTTTTACTGTATATGTCTGTTGTAAGTAATGTAAATAAATTAATATATCTATCTATCTAATTATCATAAATACATAGGAGACTTTGTACAAAAGTCGAGTGCTTGGGTACCTCTGTCCCATTCGTGTTTCTACCGTGAAGTAGTTGTGTTTGCATGGCTGTGTTTCGGTTTGAAGGGTGGGATATGGCGTGCATTTACTGAGTACAGAGGAATAACACCTGAGTCCTCAAGAATGGCAACGCATGGGCGGTATCATGGGCGAAACAGTATACTCTGTTATGTCCATGGTACTGCTCATGTCTATAGGCGACGGTTACCACTTTCCATCAGGTGGGCCGTCAGCTTGCATGCCATTCTAAGTTGTATAAAAAAAAATAACAAAAATATATAAACAAAAAGAATCATAAAAATTAAAATTAAGATATAGTAGCAAAGAAAAATAGTATGAGAGAACACGGGGGTAAACCGATCGAATCGATTGCTAAAGTAGTCATCAACATCGGTACAGATTTGGGGTAAATGTCGCGATATTAAATGTGTTAATTGTTATATTACTAACTGATCAATTGATTTTTTTAAGGATGACAATGGAATAATAACCCCGCCTACGCTATCGGTATATACTGACGGGGCACCAGTGATGATAGATGAGAATGAAGCAGTTCAGTTAGCCCAACGTGACGAATTCAACAAGTATAAAAAAGCGTGTACAATTTTTAATAGGTGATAATGGAATAGTAAGCCTGCGCTAGCGGCGCACCAGTGAGGGAGGATAGGTGAGAATTAAAAGGCAGGTCAAGTAGCCCATCTGGAATTCAGCACGATGGTTTCCAGGGAAGAGCACGTGGAGGACGACCTGACTGGGTATATTGTTAGCAAAGGGGCTGTCACACCCCATTAATAACAATTCCTTTCTCCTCCTCCCCAACAAATGAATATTTGGTATATGTATATTACTAGCTATATCCGGCGGCTTGGCCCGCGTGGTTCAGTACATAAAGTATCCCATATGCTATGTTTTTTTATTGGATGAAAATGGAATGTTAACCCCGCCTGCGCTAACGGGATACGTTAGCGGGGCACCAGTGAAGGGTAATAGATGAGAATGAAAACAGGCCAGTTAGCCCATCATGATGAATTCATCAGGAATTAACCACGATAGTTTCCAGAGGGAACCGCGAGGAGGTCGGCCTGGTTGGGTATATTGCTAGCAATGGGATTCTCAGTCTCCATTACTAACAATGCCTTTCCCCCCACCCCATATGCTATGTTAGGATATCTCTCTACACGTGTAGAAAGTTTCATACAAATCCGTTTAGTAGTTTTTGTTTGATAAAGTATCTAATAAACATCTATTCATACATCATTATAAACTTTCCCATTTATAATATAAATTCCTATTAATTGTGTATAATATTTTTTTTTTTTTTATAAATATCAATCGTATGCACCTACTTTGGTATTGCATTATTTACAATTCCAAAATTACTAACTACCCTACTAATTTGCTTCGTACTTATAGAAAAGAAATCTTAGATGAATTACGAAAATTTACAATCTAATTAATATTTAAAAATATTAAAAAAAAAGTACTTTAAACATATTGAACAAACAAAGTTTTTAAATTGTATTCGTGTACTAAAAATTTTGATATTTAAAAAACACATATAAACGTATACTAGTCGAAATGAATGCGAAAATAAACTCACGTTTAGCCACCGCCTCCTGGTCTCCGTCAAAAAATCAGTTAAAACCATCTTCACTGTCACTAGACACGAACTAACGTACGTAAGTTGTACGCTGTTGCGGTACGCACGGACGGACCGGCTGTCACAGTGGGAATGCGTGCTGAGGGAGCCGGCACGTTTGTTTTAAGTTTCGCACCGCCACCCTCCGCCTCCACAGACCCACTCCCCCGCACACGCACCCCTACTATCCACTTCATCCCTCGAGTCCTCGGGGACCACTGTCCATGGGAACATTGGGTACAGTAATTAAATTAGAATGCGATAAAGAAACGTACCTAAGCCATTGTGAAAAGGTTTTTTTACGGGTGAACTAAATATGCATTAGATAACGTAGATACCTACTGAGTTTATTTTTGAATATTATGTTGTTGACAGTCTCGTTTCTTATTGTAAGAAACAAGAAATTAATTGTATTGGACTATTTGTATTTGTTATTACTTATTCTCGTTTTAACTTTTATATAGTTTTTAGTAGGCTCAATGCTTTTAACTAAATAAAGTCCCGAATTTGATTCTCGGTTGGATCTAACATTATCAGCCCACTATACTTGACTGCTGGACATAAACACTTACGATCTGCAAATCCACTTTCAGTTATGACCTGTCTCTATACATCCACAAAATGATTGCCAATTTACGATCTCTCCTCCAAAAAAATGCCCACTAAATTATCAAGCCCAAAAGAAATAGAATATTATAACTACGACTGTACCCTCAGACATAAGTATGTAGTTTAATTTGTCATTACTTGAGGTTTATTATTTACATTCTATAATGTTATTTCTACAATAAAAATTATTAAGAATTCAGAACTTCTAATGACTTTACTTCTCTTGCTAAATACATCATTATTGGCATTTTAGTCGATTGGTTATTTACACGCACAACTAGTAACACCGTCGACTTATCACATATTGTAAATAATAGGATCGAGTACTATTCTTAATCTATGAGTAAGATGCAATAGCATAGATAACAAACAATAAAGATGACAGATAACAATATTCATTCTATGCCTCCACCGCCGAGAGTCAAGCGACGATATCGCGGTCATCTGAATAGCAAATAAAGCCACCGGTTCCACCACAGTATACGTGGAGTTGCGAACAAATAAATATTGCTTAAAAATGACTAAAATTGTGGACGCAGCGATAACCGAAAACGATGAAAATGTTTTGGAGGTACTTTGCAAGTTTGTAAATATTTTTTGCGTGTTTATGTGTAGATTGTTCTTTGCAACAAGCAGTTTTTTGTTCAAAGAAAAACAACTACTCGAATCGTCATATCTTCTTGTTCTTAAGATTCTTAATGTACCAACAGAGAAACAATAAATAATTTTTCATTCTGCATCATAAAATTAATACAGAACCAACACGGGAGTGAACCGAAACGATTACAAATGGAAATAAATACTGTATAGTACCTATATTATATTAGACTCGCCCCGATGTTGCACGGCTTAATTACAAAATATAAAATTTATATATTTATAAAAATGTTTATTTAGAACTTATTGCACATACAAAACATTCGGAAAAAAAATCTAAATGATAGTAAGACCGGATAATTCGTAGTGTTGCCAAAAAGAAGTAAGCGGAGAAACAAACTCGGACAACGACTTTGTTATTTACTATTTTATTACTGAAACACTATTTATTTCTTCAAATAAATATAAAAAATATATTAAAAGTATTATAATCAATATATTACTTTAAAATACTTTGTGTTTTTGCCATGTAATTCTGGCATAGAATGGAGCATCCCTTTATTTCCACTTGGTGTCATAATAGGCAACTAAAGGAACTTACCGGTCAAAGGATGAGCAGCAGCGTTCCTCTTAAAACATCATAAAAGCCTAACTGCAGCTTGACAACCCGCCTGCCAAGCGTGGCAACTATGACTGAACCTCCATTATATGGGAGACCAATATTTAGCAGTGGACAGTTAATGGTTGAGATGATGTCAATCAGAATCTGTATAATGAAGTTCCATCAAGACGTCAAACACAAATAGTGCACAATAGACTAAATGATCTAGTTTCAACTTTCAACCACTATTCTTCATACATACATCATTAGGCCCTCGCCTGCGTACACAGATAACGCAGGCTGGATCACCATTCAAATTTTTATATAAAAAGTAAAAAAAAACATTAAATATATTACATTTCTATTTTACACACGTTCATAGTATACGTGGGTGTGCCTTTGGCTGTTCATATGTAAGAGGAAACGTGAATGCAAATCTTCTGTGAGAGACGTTTACTCCTCCAGTCCAGACCTTGGGCACAGCATTGAAGTCGTATCCAGAGCACGACGACTATTATGTATTATATATATCATGTACACCTACAGTTGACATACGATATGTAAATTGCACCCACGTGTAATTTGAAAACTATTATTTTTAAGAGCGTCTCAAAAACGACCATTTTAATAGTAAAATTGTGTTCTACAAAAAAAAAACAATTTAAATCAGTTATTTTGATATAAAAGTAAACTACGAGGTTACTGGTGACCCAAGAGCTGGTAGCTACTTTGCCCAAAAGATAAGTTTGGCAATCCAAAGAGGTAATGCTGCCAGTATCTTGGGTACGCTGCCTCGGTGTGGTGCGTTGGGAGATTACTTTTAATTGTTATTAGTATTTAAGGAATTTTGTAAAAAAAAAAAAATACCTAATAAATACTATCTTCATATATAAAAAAAAAAAACTACTACATCTATTTTTATAACCTTTCTATAGGACCAATTGGTAAGTATATCCTTACAGATAAAATTTACATAAAAAGAATCCCACAAATCGGTTTAAAATTGAAGAAGTTATGCGTTGACAAATATTAAATTAAAAGCGTATAACCAGACTATCAAACACTTTCATTTTGAAGTTATTTGAAAAAACAAAACACGTCTGTATTTCTAAGCAAGATCCAAATGTAATAAATTAATTGATTCGTTGTATTTTCTAGTATGTAGCCGATTTTTGAATCGATTTTCATCATTATTTTTGAAATTGATACTGTTCGTTCTCATATTGGTTCGACATTAATCCGTCTATCTCGTAAAAATAAAATCCCTTTAACAATGTAAGAAAGGTTGTCTCCCTAGGGATAAGACCGCCTATTGTACCTTTATACCTATATTTTAACCTGTTCTTTAAGCTACTGTATTTCACTTGAATTCTCTAATTGTCGTTGTATATTTTTCATACAGTTTTAAAATATTAGTAGGACTTAGTTGGAGGTTTTAGAAATTCTAGCTGAAATTCATTGAACGTATTGCACATTCAAAGCTTTATAAAGAGCTTACGGTAGCAATGAACGGTATAACGAAGCTATAAGCATTTATTCGTATTTGCCGAATACAATTTAGTTTTCTTTATACTTTATTTATCTACATACTAGGTTAATCCCTAATAAGATAATCTAAGAACTGTTTGACCAGAGCTTTTTATAAAAATAAATTAATTTAAAATTATTAAACCTTAGATTATATTAATAGTGTCTCCATATAAATGCTTCAAGAAATGCGGATCAAGTTTACCTGATAAATAGTTATTATATTTTTTATTTTGTTTTATAATTTTTACATATTTTTAATGCGTAAAAACTCATTTTATTTAGTAAATAATTAAATATAGATACGTCAAAATACATTGTGTGCGTATGTTTATAGAACATTAATAAAAAAAAACAAGTCAGCTAATTTGACAATTAGCTAGCAAAAAGTTGACCCTTTTTATAGACTCGATGCTCTATCTATGTAATCTAAGTATTAAACATATAATTATGGGGGAAAGCGCATGCGCACGGAATGATACTATTGCTACCACCCGAATTAATAAAGTTTGTTACCGATATTCTTTATCTTTCTGTCTTTCTCTCTCTCTATATTTCTCTATCTGTCTCTTTCGTATAGATGACAGTAGACCACGTAGGGATCTGTCTAATAGATTCTTTTTAATACATGATAAACAAATGACAACCCCGCCCGCGCCAACAGTATACGCTGGCGAGACAGCAGTGAGGGATGATTGGTGAGGATGAAAAGGCTAGTCACTTTTGTCCAACATGATTCAGCACGATGTTTTGCAGGAGGTACCACGTGTTGGTCAACCTGACAGGATATTTGGCAAGCAATGGGACTGGTAGTTCGCATTACTTACATATCCCTTCCCCTCCCATGTCTAACAAGATATATAGTTAGTAAACAGGGTTGTTAGTGCCCATTATTAACAATTTTAGCTCTCCCCTACCATCAGAGTGCTAGTCTGAAATTTTAATTTGACATTATATAAATCTTTACTTTCGAAATTACTACAAGCAGTAGAACAAATCTTTTTTAACCTTTTAGTTCTAATTGCAGTATGATTTTACCAGAACTAAGCGAAGGAAAATATCACTTTTTGTTCTTTTAATTCTATTTTACATATATAAAAATAAATTTAGACTTCAAATTCAATAGAATACCTTCGCGGTCTATAAATTAAGTATACTACATATAATATATCCTTAGGGCACACTGCAATAAAGTACTCGGTCCCTACAGATTTCCAATTTCAATAAAAGCAGTCTTGCACAACAATGGATTAATAAAAATACTGAGAAGGTATCCAATGGCAAGTTATCACCTCGAGGCAACAAGGTTGTCCCCGCCACGTGTCCACCGAACGATTGCAAAGGAAAGGATTTATTTTAATAAAGTTACATGCACACAGGCTGCATCTTTGTGTACCTCCTATGTATATGTGGAGAAAGAATTATTGAAGGAAGTAATGGGGATATCAGTTCCATTGCAGGCAATAGAATTTGGAATCAATCAATCTTTTGGAATCAACTTCCAGCAGCAGTATTTCCGAACCAATACGATAACATAACCTTAAAAAAAAGCATATTCCTTTTTAAAAGGCCGGCAGCACACCTGCAATGCCTTTAGTGTTATGGGTGATCATGGGCGGCGATAGTCATTTACCACCAGGTGAGCCGCATGCTCGTTTGCCCCCTGTGTTGTAAAAAAACCCTATCATCTCAACCTTTACGCGATTTCCCCTGGAAACCATCTTGATTAGTTCTTGTAGAATTCACCAAGATGCTTTGGTATTAACTTACCTGCTTTCATCCTCACCTATCGTCTCTCTTCTCTAGAACTCCAATACG